CTCCGTTGCAGTGATAAGCAGTCCCGGATAGACGTAGTTTCGCGCCTGTTTAATCCTAATTCCGTTCTTCTTAGCAGGTCTCCTGATCATGACATGACCTGAGTCATTTTCAGGTTCATTTTCAGTTTGACTCTCACGGGAACGATATAAACAGTGACAGCTTACAATCCAAAATTGGAGCATATCTTTGCTCAGAGGAGGAGAGCAGGAGCTTGTAATGAGGTCACAAGATACCAACTCGACATACTTGGACTCTTGTCAACGAAGCGCCAAGGTTCTAGAATCCTGAACCTTTGCTAATGGAAGCTATTCTACTCATGTGTCGATATCACGACGTGCTCTCAGGCCGGTGTTGGTGTTGTGAACACAGTAAACGAATGGAAGCCTCCACAGAAGTTGCAGAGAGTCCCACTGAAACTCCAACAGGCTAAAGCTTTAACCTCTGCTGGTGTGTGCGCCCAATTTGGAGGGAGAATATGGAGTCCTTCTTGAGGAAGTGGAAGATGCTCTGTACGAAGTGCCGACATTCTAATGTACCGAAATCCATCATTCTAATGGGCGATTTCAATGCACATGTCAGAGAAGGCACTAAAAAGTGGAATGACGTCATTGTTAAGAGCGGCTTTACTGACCTCAACAGTAACAACGTGAAGTTCTGGCGGTTTTTTGCAAACGACGAACTGCCTGTTATGAACACCATCTTTGAGCATCGATGCGTGCATCAGTATGCCAGGTGTGAGAAACCGTAGACACAGGAATCGATGATTGATTTCGTAGTCCTGTTGTCTGATTTACGCTCTGTAATAAATGTTAGAATTAAGAGAGGCTCAGAGCTGTCAATCAATTACCATCTTGTTGCTAGCACACTACGCTATGAGGAATGGAGTGCTATGCTATGACTTGGTGGCAGAAGCAATCAGAGAATCAAATGAGAAACATTTTCTTCTGCGGATATGAGAGCGAAACTTGCAGACAAGATTCGACGACGGTTTGAACAGATCCAGTGATGACCAGTGATGTTGATACCGAGTGGCAGCTCCTTAAGACCGGCATATTCGAAGGTGCCGCCGAATGCTGCGGATTTAAACGGGATGATCTGCTGTCTGGAGGTATTTACTAGTGATGGAAAATTGGAGGAAGAGATCGACCGGCGAATTGGAGTAGCCAGTGGCGTTCTTCGTGAACTAGCCCGATCCATTGTGATTAAGACAGAGCCGAGTCTGAAGACTAAACTTTCGGTGTTCAAGTCGATCTTTATCCCAATCACCTGAGTAGTGATGGATCGTGTGCCGTTCCTGAAAAATTGCGACTGGTGTGCTTTATGAAACATGTCGCTGACCTTACGCGTCTCGACATGGCCCAGAGTAGGAAGTCCTGTAGAGCGTTGGTGTACAGTCGCTACTTCTTCAAATTGAGAAGTCACGGCTTCGATGTTTGCGGCATTTGTTGCAAATGGAAGAAGGCGAAGCATC